CAGCGCGCCGCCCCCCCCGCCGCATCAAATTTATCCTGGCGTCGTCACGCCACCCCCTCTCCCGTCGCACAGCCCCCGCCCCGCCCCCCCCCCCTCTCCTGCAGTCCGGCGCATCGCGCCCTCGGCCGCGACAACTTCATTCCGGCCTCGCCTCACCGAGCGCCGCCCCCGCGCCCCCCGCCGCCCCCCCATCCTCGCCGGCAGCGCAATACTCCTAGGGTCCCTCCGCCGCGACCACTGGATTTCGGCGTCGCCGCGCCGCGCGCGCCCCCGCCGTCGCGCCGCCCTCGCCCCCCCCCCCCCCCCCACCCCGCAGCCCAATGCTCTTCGGCGTCGCGCCGCCCCCTCCGCCCCGACAATTGCATTCTCTTGCGCAGGGCGTCTAGAGCTCCGACCACTGCATTCCGCATCGCTTCGCCCCACCCCGCCCCCGCGCCCCGCCGCTCGCCCGAATCCCCCAGCTGCCCAGCGGAACCGCGGCCCAATGACCCCTCGCCCAGACTGCGTCGCGTCGCCCCCCACCCCTTTCGCCGGCGTTCCCCGGCGGCCCAATGGAACCTCCGCCCGGTGCCCCCGCCGCCCCGACCACTTCATTCCGCGTCGCGTCGCGCCCCCTCAACGACGCCCCCCCGCGGCCCAGTGGAAGCGAGCCCCGCCTAATGCCCCCTCCGCGCCGACCGCTCTATTCCGCGTCGCGTCGCCCTCCCCCCTTCCCACTCCAGCCCCCCCTTCCCGGGCGTTCCCCGGCGGCCCAGCGGAGCCTCCGCCGAGCGCCCGCACCGCCCCGGCCAGCGCCCCCCAGCGGCCAAATGCAAACCACCGCCCATGGCCCCCTCCGCCGCATCGCATTGCGCGCACATCCCCGCCCCCGCCTTCCCCGGCGGCCCAGGGCCCCTCGGCCCGACAATTTCATTCCGCATCGCGCCGCCCCCCTCCCCAACGTTCCCCCGCGCCCCAGCGAAGATCCCGCCCAGCGCCCCCTCCGCCCCGACTACATTATTCCGCGTCGCGTCGCGCCCCCCGCCCCGCCCCCCACCGCCGCCGCCTTTCCCCTGGCGCTCGCCGGCGCTCCAATGCCCCTCCGCCCCGCCCACTTCACTCCGCGTCGCGTCGCCCCTCCCCCCAGCGTTCCCCCGCGCCCCAGCGGAGACCCCGCCCAGCGCGCACCCCGCCCCAAAATTATTCTGCCTCGCGCCGCCCCACCCGCACCCGCTGACCCCCCGCCCCTCCCCCTCGCCAGAACACCCCAACGGCCCAGCGGAACCGCGGCCCAATGCCCCGTTGCCCAGACTGCGTCGCGTCGCCCCCCACCCCTTCCGCCGGCGTTCCCCGGCGGCCCAAGGGAACCTCCGCCCGGTGCCCCCGCCGCCCCGACCACTTAATCCCGCGTCGCGTCGCGCCCCCACAACGACGCCCCCCCGCGGCCCAGTGGAAGCGAGCCCCGCCCAATGCCCCCTCCGCGCCGACCGCTCTATTCCGCGTCGCGTCGCCCCCCCGCCCGCCCCCGCCCCCGCTTCCCGGGCGTTCCCCGGCGGCCCAGTGGAACCTTCGCCGAGTGCCCGCCCGCTCCGCCCCGGCCAGCGCCCCCCAGCAGCCAAATGCAAACCGGCGTCGCGCCCCCCCCGCAGCCCAGCGCGCCCGCCGCCCCGACCACTTTATCCCGCGTCTCGTCGCAGACACCCCCCCAGCGCACCCCCGCGGCGCCCCCGCCCGGCGCCCTCCGCCGCGACCGAGTCATTCCGCGTCGCGTTGCACCCCTCCTCTCCGCCCCCCGCCGCCCTCCCCAGCGCACCTCAGCGGGCCAGTGCCCCCTCTGCCCCGGCTGCGCTATTCCGCGTCGCGTCGCCCCCCCTCCCCCGGCGCCCCCCCGCGCTCTAACGGGGCCCCGCCCAGTGCCTCCTCCGCACCGACAACATTACGCCGCATCGCGTCGCACCCCCCCTTCCCCCTCTTCCCCGCCCCCCCCCCCCGCCTGTTTCGCGTCGCCCCTCCCGCCACCCCCTCCCCAGCGCCGCCGCCTCTATAGCTCTGCCCCCAGCGGCCCCCTTGTCTTCGCCACCCTTCAGCCCCCCCTAGCCGAGCGCCCCCTCCGCCCTGACAAATTTATTTCGCGCCCCCCACCCCCTCGCCCCCAGCTCCCAGCTCTGTCCCCAGCGGCCCCCTTGTCCCTGCCATCCCTCTGGCCGCAGCAGCTGCGCCCCCATCCGCCCCGAACTCCGATCTCGCGTCGCCCCCCCCGCCGCCCTCAGTTCTGCCCCGGCGCGGCGCGGCGCCAGACCCCCTTCGGCGGCCCGCGCGCGCTCTCCGCGCCCCTCCCCCGCCGGCCAGCGCGCACCTCCACCCCGGCCGCGTCCTCGCCTTGCACAGCTGCGTTCTAGAGCAAGGACTTCTTTATTTTCGTCGCCGTCGTTCGTTCGTTCGTTATCGCCCCCCCCCCTGGCCGCCCCGGCCTTGCCCCAGACCCAGCCCCCCCCCGGCCCTCCTCGCCCCCATCACCCACCCCCTGGGCCCAGCTCCCCCCATCCTCCGCGCCTGGCCTCCCGTTCGTCGCCCTCTACCCCCCTGGCCTCCTTATTTTCGTCGTAGTTCATTCGTTCGTGCGTCGTCGTCGTTCGTTCGTTCGCCCCCCCCCTGGCCCCCCCGTCCATGCCCTGGACCCATCCCACCCCCCTGCCCCTGCCCTGGGCCCAGCCCCCCCTCCCACCCCTGCCTCCCTGGCCGCCTGGCCTGGCCCTGGATCCAGCCCCCCACTCCAGCACTGCCCTCGCCCTGGACCCCGCCCCCCTCGCCCCCCCACCCCTGGCCCCCCTGGCCCACTCGTTCGCCCTCTCCCCTGGCCCCCCCGGACTTGCCCGCTGCGCCCTAGAGCTCGGACGTGTTAATGATATTGCGCGCTGTGCTCTGGAGTTCGGACCTCTGTATTTTCGCTCGTCGCTCGTTCGTCGCTCGCCGTTCGCCCCCCCCCCCCCCCCCTCCGGCCACGGAAGGAAACTCCTGGGGAAAGGAGGCGAAAGCCTCCTGCCCCTCGCAGCTCCTCGGCGCAAGAGCCAGGGCGCGCGTGCCGCGTGTCTAGGGCCCCAAAACTTACAGGGATCGATCCCACTTTTTACTCGCTGCGCCCCTAACTCTGGTAGTCTCCCGACGCCACTTCTCTCTACGTGCTCTGATGTTGCTGTGCCACCTTACAAAAGCGACGCTACCTGGCAACCAGAGCAAATACCTTACGGCCACCCGTCCTTCTCGCTGACGGCCTCACTCTGATATTTGGGAGAGGGGGTTGGCATTCGCAGTGGTGGAGGAGGTGGGGAACCTGAGCATCTCATGCAGCTTGTACCTTGTGTTGCACACGCCAGCCACCAAGCCAACCTTCATATCCGGATGCTCGCGTACTTGCAAATATTACAGCATAGCCAACTCACTCACCTGCCCCCTCCTTGCATTACTTCACGCACTCCCCCCCCTTACTCCATTGCCGTTGCGGCTTGGGGGTGCCCCATAAAATCCTGGGCGGCACCCCAAGATCTGCTACACTTTGTTTCTGACCAGGTAGTTATCTTGCCTACTGCTGGCCATACTCTGCAACAGGTATGGAACGAAGCAGACAGCCGACCGCGCCAAGCTAGGCTCAGACCAGCCTCGAGGCCAGCCTTGAACAACTGTGTATAACATAACTGCCTCCAGCGCCAGGTTCGACACAGGCCAGCCTCGAGGCCAGCCCTGTACACAGTTGACACAAAGGGTTCGTGCTAAACCCGAGAAGATCCACAAAAAGCACGTGGATCCTGGGACCGATGAGGTTAGAGGTTAACCTGACAACCCTGGGTAACAACCCAAGAATTGCTACACTCTGGAATGTCTACCGACATTGTTTTTTGTCGGCTATACCATGACAGCCATACCTGCAACACTTCCAACAGGCCAGCCTACAGTGGCCAGCTTCACCATCTCAGCTCTTGCTCCTTCCTCATATATTCAGTAAGCCATTCTTTGCCACCTCCTCAGCTCTAAGGTTCGGGGTGCACCTGAAACCCTGGGCAACATCCCAAGGACTGTTTTTTTTTTGCCTGACGTCCATAAGCATGTCGCCTGTGGCTGCCCACACTCTCAGCATATACCAATGAATGGATATGGGCTGAGGCGGGTCTGCGGGGGATCTGTAGGACGGGGGTGGAACAGCATTTGACAGCGTGTACCTCGACGCACAGACCAGCCTCCAGGCCAGCCTTAACCACCCTGCTCGCGTGCTTGCAAGTCTGACTACTTTACTTTCAAGCATGACGCAAGCTGGCTTCCCTTGTCACCAAGATCCTGCGCAGACAGGACTCTGCACTCACTTATTTGCCGTTGCTCCTACATGGCAGCATGTAGAACTACATCGCAGGGTACCTATCACTTGGTTTGTAGATGGCTATGAGGGGGCTTATTATACTAATGTACGGGCTGCCGTACCTGGCGGGCGCCTACTATTGTTTCTATTCGTGCCGCCGCCTTCTCTGCCAGCTTGTTTCGCGGCGCCCGCCAAGTACTTTGTGCGTCGGGTCGGGCTTACATAATTCAAAAACGCTGCAGCTGCTCATTTTAAGTCTGACCAACGTAAAAAGGATGAGGAGGAGAAGGAAGAGGTCTGGAAGAGGAGAGGTGGAAACGGGTCGAAGGAGGGCGATGCCGCAACATCAAGCCTGCATGGGCGCCCCTCGGCCCAGCACCCCTTGGGGGGCGCGTGCGGGGGCGCGGTGACTGCCAGAGAGGGCACCCTGCCTTCGGCACGGCGCGGGCGCGCAGAGGAGCGGGGGAGGACCAGAGGGATGAGCGGACGGAGGAGCGGGATGAAGAGGAGGACGGGGGGCAGCCGCCTCTCTTGCGCCCTCCCTCCTCCTCCCCCTCTTCCTCCAACTCCTCCTCCTTCTCCTCCTCCTCCTCCTCCTCCTCCTCCTCCTCCTCCTCCTTCTGCTCCTTTTCCGCCTCCTCCTTCTCCTCCTACTCCTCCTCCTTTTTCCTCCTCATCTGCTTTTTCGTTTTCTTTTTCCTCCTCCTCCTCCAGCTCCTCCTCCGGTTCCTCCTCCTCCAGTTCCTCCCCCTCTGCGTCCTCCTCGTCCTTCTCCTCCTCATCCTTCCGCCCCTCATCTCGCCTAGTGCGCTGGCAGCATCTCTGCTGCTGTCCTCCTCCTCCTTCTCCTCCTGCTCCCCCCCCTCCTCATCCCCCTGCCCCGCCTCCACCTTGCCAAACTCCGCTGCCCGATAATCAACTGCCAGGAGCGGCAATCAGCCGTTGGAGACGCTCCTCTGTCGCGCGGCAGTGGCGGTACATCACGTGGGGCATCAGCGAGATCCCCACGATGCCGAAAACCGCGAACAGAAACGCCCCCAGCACGATCACGTTCCCGAGCTTCAGGACCGAGCTCAGCGCCTGCCAAGCGATTCGTCAACTTTGGCAAGGGCGAATACAACAGATTGCTTTATCGTCTGAGTCGCTGGCTGCGGCCCTGGACGACGACGACGACGACCCGCGAATACGTGTCGAATCGCCCATTTCCCAGCAAGCCGCTGCGACTCCCCTTAGGCATCACTAGTCGCGTGGTGGCAGTACGGCGTGGAACAATTTACAACAAAAAACCATACGAGTGAGTCTTGCTATGGGAGACGGCTGGGTACAGTCTTCGTCGATCTTTCAGAGTCCCAGGGTGTCCCCAAGCTTCTGCGGGCCCCTGGGGCCATCGGGGGACGAGGAAGCTCCGCGGGGGCACCCGCTGGTAGGCCGATGTCTAATGTGCCTACAGTTAAGGGGTGAGGAGAGAGGAGGGGGCAAAACATGGCATGCCGTGCAAAGCTACACGTCGCTCATTTCTAATCGTGCTCATTTCTAGTCGTGCTCATTTGTACTTGGCCCCCAAAAAAATCAAAGAACCTTCGAAAAATTAGAAATGCACCATGTGTGTACCCCTCTTCGTCCTCAAGAGCGCGCGGTCCGCGCGCGCGCCTTGTGGCGCCCTGCCGTCCTCCCCCGGAAGGAGGAGGGTGCGCCGAGGGCAGGAGGACATGACAGACAAGGGGGATGACGAGGAAGAGGGGCGTGCAAGGAGTAGCAGGATCGTGAGGAGGCCGCGGCAGGAGCGCGGGGAGGCTTCGAGCGCGAGAACGAACAGTCCCACCAGCCCTGTGGGCTGGGGTGGTCCAAGGATCTTCCTCTTCCGACCCCCTTCTTCCCCTGCTGGGAGGGGTTCACCCCTCCCCCTCCCTGGGTCTGGACGGGGGGGCGGTGACGGCTCACAGCGCTCACGATGGCCCAACCTGGCTCCGACATGGTCTCAGATCGCCTTCAAGATGGGACGACATAGACCAGGATGGGTATACACTATGCCTCTAGGAGTGTTCCGGGAGGCCCCAAGACCCCCCCCTCAAAAAAGACGGCTACAAATGGCCTCAAGGAGGCCCCCAAGAGGCCACCATCCTTCCAACACATGAGAAACACCCACTCCTAGTATACACATTCGTACCCTCTATAGCATCTCTCCTTCTACATGGTTGCTCAGATGTGAACATAGATGTACTGATTCTATATCGCTCACACTCCCTCTCTCTCTCTGTCCCTCTTTTATGTCTGTATTCCTGCGCATCTCCACTGAATCTCTCTCCGTGCCAGGAGCCCAGGGCCTGGAACCAAAGGGGACCCGGCCGTCCACCAGGATCGGCCCACAAGCCAGAAGCAGGGACCCCGGAACCCCCCCCGCCAATCGAAACCCACCCAAAACTCCCAAATCCAGAACGCGGGAGCCCGGGACCGGGAACCCGGAAGCCTTCCGACAGCGACGTGTTACTTACTCTCTCAGTCTTCGCAAGGCCCCCTTCAGTGCAAGCGGTGATCTGGCTAATCCTGTACGGTCTGAGTGAGCAACCACACATCATCGTACCCAAGCAGTGCCGTAGACACCTCCCGAAATGTTCCACAATGATATTGTGGTCGCATGCGCACGGGCTTATTGGTGCCGTGGTTTGGGGAGCGCCGGGGCAGAATGGCCTGTATGCGCTACCAGCACTCGAAGAGAAGGGCAAGGGGGCAGGAGAAGACGAGACACGGAGAGGGACAGAGGGAGACAAAGAGAGGGAGAACGAGGGAACGACGGGAGAGACGAAAGGCCCGGTCCTACCCCTGTTTCAGGTAGTCCCGAAAGTGGCGCCGTGTTTACCAGCACCTTCATCTGCGGGGCCGCGTTCAGCGATCGGAGTGGGCGCAACAACCTCGGGCATGGCGGGCAAATGAGACATCCAGAGTTGGGCACACCCTAGCGTCTGCTGAGGTTTCTTGTCCAACGTAATCCAATGCCAAGCATGTGCGGCTAAATGTCCCCGCGTTCGCTACACACGCAGCTGGCCTTGGGATGGCAAAGACTGCGGAAGGAGAGCATCAAGCAGGAGGGCGCTGGAAAAAAAGCTAGGCAGGCTTGGAGGGATGCTGAATGATGAGTTTAGGGGAGAAGCTCGAGAAAACGAAACGAGGAGCGGACAGATAGCCAAGGGACCATGGTGCGCTCAAAATGGTTGATGGGGACACGGTGCAGAAGGGGAGCCGATGAAAGAGGGCGACATGGGCGAGGGTCGTGGCGACTGTTCAGCGATGCTGCAAGTGGGGGTCGAGGGATGGGCGGAGAGAGAGGGCAGCCACGGCGCCCTGTCAGCGGGGGGGGAGGGGTACGGATGACCAGAGCAGCCTCAAGGCCACCTCCCCACCTCTGAGCCACCTCCCTTCCCCTGTTCACCCTCCTCCCGATGGCGCCGCTGCTCCTCCTCCTCCTGGTGGCGACGGCGACGTCGGTGACGAGAGCGACGAGAACGAAAACAACGACGAAGGCGAAGGCGATGACGACGGCGGTGGCGCCGACGATGACGACGACGACAACGCGAACGGCGGCTTAGACGTCGGCGACGTCGACGTCGACGACGACGGCCGACGACGGGAACGGCGACGACGACGGCGGCGGCGGGACCGACGACGGCGAGGACGACGAGGGCGGCGATGACGACGGCCGACGACCGCGGCGCCGACGAAGACACCGACGACGGTGACAACGACGCTGGCGGCGACGACGACGACGACAACGGTTACGACGATGACAACGGCGGCGACGAGGACGGCGACGACGTGAGGTGGAGGTCCGTCTGGCCAAGGCAGCGTTGTACAATGGGGAGGATGAGACGCGTGACATTCCAGGGTCTGCCTCGCAACACGAGGAAGGAACGTCCTCCTCCTGCTCCGTGCTCTGTTCTCCGCGCCCTCCTCGTCCTACTCGAGGGGGAGGGGGGGAGGGGTTCGAGATTGGGTTGGGATGGGCGTGGGGGCTGGCCAAGCTTGACCGAGGCGGGGCGGCGACCTGAATAACCTCAGGAACGACACGCCAATATTCAGCTTGAACCTGGCACGGCGAGGGGCGCTCCTCCTCCCCGCTGAGCTTTCCCCCCTGTGCTGCCATGGTGCGGGGGCGCGAGGGAGGAAGAGGAGGGATAGGAGGAGTGAGGAGAAGGGGCGGAGGGTGAGGGAGGTGAAGGAGGAGAGGGATAGGGACGAAGCCACATGCGTTTTCATCTCTCGCCCAGGCTGGCCACACCGTGTGTATCCAGCTTCCTGGTAGAGCGTGGTGTGACGAGGTAGGGCCGCGGAAGCATGAAGAGCTCCGAGCTGAACCGGGGAAGAAACCAAGTCAGCGAAAACCAGCATGTGTGGACTTCCTCCAGACCTTTGGGCGGAGGTGGTGTTGCAGTTCTTGCCTTCCCCCTTCCCGGGCCCCTTCTTCCCCCAATCGGGGAGGACAGGCCCGACCTAACCCTGGCGTCGCCTCTGGCGCCGCCCCCAGGCGCGCCCCGTGCGGCAAGGAGGGGGGCCCTGTCGCCGATGCCAGACATCCGTGCGGACCCTCGGAAGTTTCTGCTTGTGGGCTTTTTTTTTCAGGAGGGAAAAAACACACAGACACAATTAATCGTCGATCCCCCAGAAATATGGGAAAATATGGGAAGTGGGGGGGAGACGAACATCCAACAAATATGGAAAACTATGGGGAATCCTTTGATTTGTGTGTACTTATTTGTGTGTCCCAGGGCCCCTTCATTTGTTCTTATTCTCCCCGATCAGTTTTGTGCTCTGATCTGCTCAGCAGCCCTGTGTCTTGTTGCGCGGCTCGAGGGCACGATAACGAGAAGCGATGGAGGGCAGGAGGTGGAGGGGGAGGAGGTGGAGAAAGAAGAAGGAGGATGAGAAGGAGCCGCGAGGAAGAGGAAGGAGGTGGAGCAAGGATGGTACTGTGGGATGAGGAGGAGGGGGAGTGGGCGGGGGTGGGAGGGGGGTGGAGGGGAAGGATGAGAAATGACGATAAGCCAGAATAAGGGGAGTTGCAGGAATATCGCGCAAGAAAGATGTTTCACTGCGGGGGGGGGAGGGGGGAAGAGGTGGAAGATCGCACGCCACTGAGGGCGAGAGAGGGAGAGAGAAAGAGTTCGACGGTCAGCAACAACACCAGGGTGGCCAATCGGAGAGGAACGTGTTGTCACCCTGGCAGGAAGGCCAAAGACCTGCCAGGGACCGCGACAAGGCCAGAGGAGGTGGAAGAGGAGAAGGGGAGAGGGACCTAGAGGAGCAGGAGGAGCAGGAGGAGGAGGAGGATGGGGAGCAAGACGAGGAGGGGAGAGGACGGACGAGGAGCCACCAATATTGGATTGGCTTAGAACCCCTTTTTAACGTCATCCGCTGGTGGCGAGATGTCACGGGCATCCTGCGTGCGCGAGCCTGTCTGAATGTCACCCGCGCTTGCTCAATAGACGCCAGCCTAGGCGGCCTCCCCCTGGCGCGTGACTGTATGACCATGTGGGCACATGCCGACACGGTGCAACTACGGCGCGAATCCAGCACTACTGTGTCGACGCCTCGTGTCTCAAATGCCTCCCCAGCTTACCAGATCTGACCCGCACGGCCACCATGGCCCGATGCCCCTGAACTCGCTGCACCGCTGCTTGCGGCGCTTGGCCCCGCGTGCCTGGCCGAGAAGCCCACGTCGAACGCGTGGGTCTCACCGCTGCTCCCGCACAGCCCCGTTGGCCCCGGGCACGTGCGCCTGTCCGGTCACTCACGCTCAGCGATCGAGAAGTACCGCGCGCTTCTTCTTATCGTCGCCGCGGCATTGCGTTTTTTCCAAGGATCTCAGACGCCTGAGCTCCTCTGTTTGCGGCCTCCACAATTCCATTACCCATTATGTGCAGTTATTGACTGAAACCGCTGCGCCAGATTATCCGCTTCTTGTTCAGAAGTGCGCTGATTTGCGAGCACGGATTCCATCGGCCAAAACGGTCTCATCGGAGCAACGGGGTGGAGAGGAGCATTGTCGGTTGTCGTCTCCGTGGTCGTGTTCAGTTGGGCCTGCTAGAGAACCAATGGACGTGGGAGTCATATAGGACGTAGCCATGGCAAACGACAAAGAGATCTCGATTCCGACCCCTCCTTGGAGGCTTCCGTATTGACAGAAACCGAATCCTAAAAAGTGGCAACAACGACTCGTATTACCTCAGCGTTTCTCAACCGGGTTTACATGCTGAAGCGTACCCCAGTCTCCTCCTCCTCCTCCACCTTCACCGAAAACTCTCGAGCTCCAGCCAACGTCTGGCCTCCAAATTCCCAGCCCCCCTCACCCGAGGAGGAACATGATGTAGGGGAGGTGCCACGGGGTATGTGTTGTCCCTCCTCCTCCTCCTCGAATCCCTCCTCCCTCTGCTGCTGTTCCTCCTGCTATGTTGTCTTGCCCTCCTCCTTGCTATTATTAGTCCTGCTCCTCATCTTTCTTCTCGCTATACTCCTTGTCCTCCTCCTCCTCCTCCACCATCTCCCTCTGGTTTTCCACTTCCTCCTCTCCTCCTCAGCCCCCTCTACTCTCATTCTCCTCTTAAGCCCTCCTCGGCCTCCTACTCCTACTCCTCCCACCGATATACATCTTGCTCCTCCTCCTCCTCCTCATCATCATCATCATCATCCTCCTCCTTCCCCTCTCCTGATCCTCCTGCGCCCTCCCAATCCATCTGTATCTGTCCCCATCCTCCCTCCTCCCTCCCTCCCTCCTCCTCCTCCTCTTCCTCCTACTCCTGCTTCGCCTCCTCTTCTTCCTCTTCGCTACTCCAAGCTCCACCTCATCACTGCTATGTTGTCTCCTGGTCATGCCGAGGGCTAAAAAAACTGGACGCCCGAGGTCGTTAACAACTCGAACGTCGGGAAGGTGCGGGGAGACGGGGGAAAGAGGAGAGGAGGATTTAATTGAATTTGTGTACGGGCGGGGCTACTGGGGCCTTTTGAGGTTCTAGGGCTAGGAGGGGAGGAGGATGACAAGGATGACGATATTTGGGGGGGATGCGGAGAAAGAGGAGACTAGACGAGATGAGGCCAGTCGCGAAGCGAGTCACCACATAGATTATGGACCCCGAGCTGCCTTCCCAACTTTGCTGAGAACCTTGGGCCAGAGGCCACGGGAAATCCGGTCAAAGTATTCCCGCCGAGTCCCAAAGATCGGAGCAGGGGGGACCTTACGAGCAGGACGTAAATCTGCCAGGCCGCGCAACTGTTGCTGGCCAGAGCAACCACACGAGAAGGAAAGGGAGGAGGAGGAGCCAGGGAAGAGGCGAGGCGGGCTGGCGAGAGGCATGGGGATGGCGGCTCGAGTGAACAATGATGTGGGGGGGAAGATGATGAATAGGAGGGATGAAGTGCGTCTCCTCCACATCCTTCTCCCCCCTCCTCCTCCCTCATCCACCTCCTCCACCCTTCCTCTACCTCCCACTCATCCTCCTCCCCCTGCCCCCCCCCCCTCGTTTTCATCCTCGTCATTCTCAGGGTCGGCGGCACCGGCCGTAAGGCCTTCGCAATATGAGGGATGAAGGAGATGGAATGGGATGAGGGCGTTGACCTTGGCGGTGTTTCTATGTGGTTCTGCGGGTTCTAGGGGCTCTAGGTCTCTAGGTGTGCCCCGCCGGAAGGCGTGGGAGGGGGGAGGCGGGCGGGGCGGGGGGAATGGGGGGAAGGAGGAGGGCTGGACGAAACAATTGATTATCATGTTGCTGTGGGTACGCGGTGCAGAAAAAATACCCTATCCTTTTGTATTCCCCCGCTCCTTCAGCTTCCCCTTGCGCATCTCCCCTGCTCCGCTCTTGTCCATCCTCAAACTCCCAACCCCTTGGCGCCGAACTTCGTTCATTCTCGCATTCGCTCTCGCTCTCGCTCTTGCTCTCGCTCTCTCTCTCTCTCTCTATCTCTCTCGCGCGTTCTCTTTATCGCGTTATATTTATTTCTTTTCTGTTGTCTCTCTCTCTCTCTCTCCCCCTTGCACAATCATGATTCGTCGTTCTTTGTCGAGGCTGGAAACTAAAGACGACGGGCGACTGCTAATAATAGCACGCGGTCTGAAAAAAGGCGAGGCGTGCAAACAGTGGAGGGTGCCAGGCGCGGGACAAGTCAGTCGCCGCGACGCGGTCGCCCCCCCAGTTCCCACCCCCCTGGATGGGGAGGCCTTTCGAGCAAGCCAGAGCATACCACGATAAAGTCCAGAACGTTCCACGGGTCCCGCAAGTAGGAGTGGTTGTCCAGCACGAAGCCCCAGGCGATAATCTTAATGACCTCTTCTCGCCATCGAAGGGATCGGGAGAGGGGAGTCCTCCTTCTCACCCATGCCACCTCGCCCCCAGCGAAGGAGGAGGATGAGGAGGAGGCCAAATACATGTGCTGGCATATCTGGCAGAGCCTGCGCAAAGCTCAATGCCGACATCGAGAAGGCCCTCGGCTTTGCTGGCGGTCCTGGCTGCCACTGCGCGTGCATGTGCAGGGGGAGGGCTGCGTTTGTGGATGATGAAGGAGGAGGAGGGTGAGGAGGAGAAGGAGGAGGGATGAGGACAGACAGACAGGCAACACCCTTAGAGCATGAAACGTAAACTCCACGAGCTGGATTACCCCATGGGCGCCCAGAATTCGGCGGGAACCTGCGTGTCACGGTCGATATGGCGCTGCAGGGTGACAAGATGTCGTCGGACAAACAATTCTAACGTGGTGCTGCAGTGGGAAGATCCCCACTCGTGAAGCCGTCGTGGATCGTGTCCACCGCCTTCGTAACTCAGTCTTTCCTCCTTCCACCCATCTCGTCCTCCTCCACCTCCCCCTCCTCCGCTTTCTCCCTCTAATTCCTCCTCGCTCCACGTTCCCCCCTCTCCCATTCCCTCTCTTTCGCCCTCCACTCCCTGATCCTGCCACTGCTGCCACTATCCTTCCTCCTCCTCCTCCTCCTCCTCCTCCTCCTCATCATCATCAGCAGCAGCAGCAGCAGCATCATCACCTGCTATCTCCCAGGACGGTGTATGGCGCTCGCGGCTGTACACAGGTAGCGACGGACCGGGGAACGAACATCTGCGATCATCGAGCGGGTCAGGAGCAGAAGCCGAGGTATCCAATGTGGCTGAGATCGGGACGCTCTCGAGCGCGAACACCGCCCACAGGGCTTGGTCCGCCCAGCCGTTGATGGTCTCCTTCAGCCAGTAGCCTGGCAGGACAGGGGGAATGGGGAACGGGATCAGAGAAAAGCAAGGAGGATGAGGATGAGGATGAGGAGGAGGAGGAGGATGATGATGGCGATGATGATGATGATGATGATGATGATCATAATGATGATAATGATGATGAGGAGGAGGAGGAAGGCCAATTCGTGCAATCTGGCTTACCATAGATGCCATTTGAGATGGGTCCGGCACGTAACCCATTGGTGCCCGTCGCTTTTCACGCGCCAATCCGCTGGCGTACCTGCGAGATCGAAAAGCTAATGCCCACCTCGGCATTGCCAGCTTATCCGAGACGACCAGATGGGAAGGGAATACATGAGGTTATGGGCAAGACATCGGTCTAGGAGGAGGCTCGGGAAGCTGCGCCGCGTCTTGACGTGATCCCCAGAAGCGCCTACGACAACGGGCTGTGACGTCTCCGCTCAGCCGCGGCGCACACGATTGGCTCTACCACAAGCCCGCCAGCCCAGGCCGCTGCACCTCGGGGGGGAAGGGGCCCGGCGCCGCAAGCGGTTTGGGGAAAGAACCACACAGACTTTGCTCGCTGGCGTCGCTTTGGCAGAGCTCGCCACACTCACGGTCCAGTCGTTTCGGTCTCCGCCACCTCCTTGGATGCAGAAGCGATTGAATGAAGAGGACGACGGTAACGGAAGAGAAGCAGGCGGATTAGGGAAAGGTAGCTTGAGAAAATGGTAAGACGCAGTGGACTGGTGTCACCCTCATCTTCTCGGTATGGGTAGATGCCCAGCAGTAACGAGTTGACGGCAATGCACACGAGAATGAAGCGGTCAAACCTTAGCGCGTCCCAATTGGCCAACCTGCTGGCCAGAGAGCGAAGCTCGGAAGTCTGTTTACGCCCGTCATCATCACCTGCTCTTTCTCATCATCCTCGCCCTCGTCGTCGTCGTCCACTTCCCTGTCCTCCTCCTCCTCCTCCTCCTCCTCCTCCTCTTCCTCCTCCTTCTCGAAATCATCGTCCACCTCGCCCCCCTGGGTTGATGTGCATTGATCGGGATCGAGCACACATGCGCAAACGCACCACGATGACAAGCCGAAGGTCGCGCTTTCTGGCGGCACCAGCTCGGCGTGAGCGAAGTCGTCTGTGCGGGGCAAACCCGGCGGACCCAACTCACCCGGGACACCCAAAACACCCGGGGCACCCGGGACACCCGGCACACCCGGGGCACCCGGCGCACCCCGCACACCCAACGCACCCGGCTCACCCGGGACACCCGGGACACCCGGGGCACCCGGGACACCCCGGACACCCGGGGCACCCGGCGAACCCAGCACACCCACTGAGATCGCCGCCGCGGTTTCGATTCGGTTAGCGCGATTAGTATATATAGATTATATATATATATATATATATATATATATATATATATATATATATTATAACTAGCGTGTAAGTTGGCTGTAACCAACTTATAAGTTCAGTGAACCAACTACAAGCCCAGTGACTCAGATAGAGCACTTCATGATCACATAGAGCACTGACTAAGTTAGTTAGCGCTAACTTATGTAAGTGCTTATCGCGATTAGCTAAACAGGTTTTCACGGTTAGCTAAATAGGAAAAAACACTTGTTAAGCAGGTTAGCTAACCTAGTTAGTCAACATGTATATATAATGTGTGTGTATGTTGTTTTATGTTTCTTTCTTTTTTTTTTTGGGGGGGGGGTATTTTTGTTTTCTGTTGAAAATGTTGATATTTTTATGATTTCTGAAATTTGAAAGTTTTTAATCGATGGGGAAAGTGACATATTTCGGCGCCCTCCACGCACGCTTCGCTGCCCCATAGGGACTTACACCCAATATCCAAGGGGCGGCGTCGTCGTCGTCTTCGCTGTTGCCATGGCGTAGGCTCAATAAGTCAAAACAATATGTAGAGCTATGTATTTCAGCGATGCGCCCTGTGGCGTCGGGTCCTCGTTTTGAAGAGACATCGCCCCGCGTCCTCACTCCTCCTTCTCCTCCTCCCCTCCTCATCCTCCTCCTCATCCTCCTCATCCCATCATCATCGTCGTCATCGTCGTCATCGCCATTATGGTCATCATCATCATCATCGTTGTCATCATCACCATCATCGCCATCACCCCACACACGTTTCGCGGCCCCATAGGGAGCTCCACCGAAAACCCAAGTGCCACCGCCCGCAAGCGCCCCGCACACCCATAGTGGGGGGGGAGGGGGGGGGGGGGGGGGGGGAGGGGGGGGGGGGCTCCACCGAAGGCCCCAGTGCCATGCCGCCCGCATGCGCCTCGCACACCAAATGCGGCACACCCCTCGCGCGCTTCGTGGCCCCACAGGGAGCTCCACCGACAGTGTTTCCGTTGGTTTGGGGCCCGCGAAGACGGCGCTGGGGGTCAGCAAAGACGGCGCTGAGGGTCAACAAAAACTAATATGAATCAGCTTGGCGAGCAAGCTCGCCATTTGAATAAGCCTGAGCGGCGTAAACCATTTGAATAGGTTTGGCGAGCAAGCTCGCCATCTTAATAAGATTGGCGAGCAAGCTCGCCGCATGCGTCCCGCAATTAGGAGTAGGCGTATAAGGAGTATGAGAAGGAGGAGGAGTCGGAGTAGGAGTAGGAACATTAGTAGGAGTAGGAGCATAGGAGTGGGAGTAGGAGTAACTGTCCGGCTGACGGTTAGTTTACGTGTTGCGTTTTCAGCACGCTGGCAACATCAATGTCATCGTCGTCATCTTGACATGTCAATGACACTGTCATTATCGCCGTCGTCATGTCATCGTCGCCATCATCATCATCAGCCGCAGCCATTTGTGCTGTCAGCTTCCCGCGTGTTCGGTATCGAACGCACCTGCCCGTGCCACTGTGGGAAAGCGTCGTTGTGACGATCGTATCAAGTGGTCGACTGGAGGAGGCAACAATGACGATCGTATCAAGTGGTCGACTGGAGGAGGCGACAAACGTATCAAGTGGTCGACTGGAGGAGGCGGCAAGTGGCACTACAATGAAGAACAAGGTACGTATATCAAAGTGTGGAAAACGTCCTACCGCGGTGTCTGGGTTGATCCTAAGACTGGCTGGGCGCACAACGTCATCTGGTATATTTCAGACCTCGTATGGGAAGACGATGACGTTACCGAAGTTTGGTCGTGGGACTACGCCTCATCTTTCGAAGTGTGATTCTGCGGAGGTCGCTGCGGCACTCAAGGCGATCAACTACCTGACCAAGTGGGTGGACTGAAACGGGGTCAGGCCGCCCCCCTTCCGCCTGGTGTTTGCGACGATGTTTCCCGTCTTGACGGCCCAGTTTTGCGGGAGCCACGTGCCTGTCACAATTCCCGTTTCGAATGGCACGGTGATTACAGTTTGTATCCGTTGCTACTCCTATGCCGCTCACAGCCATGTTCGAGGCTTGAGAACTTTGTTCAATCGTATCTGCAGGGGGCGGCACCCACAAAGGGATGACCTCACTGTAGGGCCTGTGCCGTGGTGCTAATCTTTCGCCTCGCAGTTCATGCCAAAAAAGCCCTGAGGCTTTCTTGGGCCATCTTGGGCGCCGTCGTGGCCGTGCTCCTTGGCCGTCTTGGCTGTCCTGGAAGCCATATTGGGCCGTCTTGGCCGTGGACGAACTTGGGCAATCTTGGCCGTCCTGGAAGCCATATTGGGCAGTCTTCTGATGTTAATTGTCCCATACTCCTACTCCTACTCCTACTCCTACGCGTGCGGCGAGCTTGCTCGCCAATCTTTTTCAAATGGCGAGCTTGCTCGCCAAGCTGATCCAAATGGTATACGCCGCTCAGGCTCATTCAAACGGCTTTCTTGAGCCTAAGCGGACGCGGAGGGAGAATGCGGTGACACTGGGCTTTCGGTGGGGCACTCTATAGGGCCACGACACGTGTACTACTCCTACTCCTGCTCCTACTCCTACTCGTATATTCCTACTCCTACTCCCAGACCCCGATTGTCCTAATCCGCCATGGTTTTGCAAAGGAATCGCCATCCATCCGCGCACATGTTGCACATGGTTTCAGAAGAATGCCCGCGCGCCTGAGACATCCTCGAAAGATGGCGCTGAGGGTCAACAAAAGCTACTATGAATCAGCTTGGCGAGCAAGCTCGCCGTGTGAATAAGTATGGGCGGCGTAAACCATTTGAATCAGTTTGGCGAGCAAGCTCGCCATTTGAATAAGCCTGAGCGCCACCGAAGAAGATATTCACAACCGCGGTGTTCACAATTGCATATGGTTGGGTCCTTCGCCAGGCTAATGTTTTTCTTTCTGCATTGCATAGCGCAGTGCGCCATGCGCTCCAATCTTCACAGCGAGGCTCGCCCTCCCTGCCAGGAGGACTAATCGCTCTCCCTAGGAGGGTTATCCCACGGGAGAGCTCCGAATGCACACAGTGCCCCCCAAGGGTCAGGGGAAATCAGTATCGCGCAAGTGCGGGGCGACCCCGAGGTCACGTGCGACGCGAGCAGGTGAGCCGCTGTCGGGGAAAAATGCCCGCTGCGCCCCCTCTTATACAAAATTGAAATCGGCTGCCGACGATGCGCATCGCCATATGCAAACGTAGTCCGACCACCAACTCGGTGCATAAACTCCGATGTAGCGACGCACAGTCCGATGCAGAGTCCGATGTATCGATGTATCGCGATACATGCCCGATGCGTCGCGCGCCGCTTCACGGGGGGGCAGGCGCCGCGTCATTGCATCTGCTGGTAGGGCGCCGCCTTGGAGGGCGCCGCATCACCGCGGTTCGCGCGCGCGGCTTGCGCTGGCGACCCGCGCGGCGCTGCCTGGGCCATAACCCCGAGCAGCTGGTTGGTCTCCGCGATGCGGTCCGCCACCAACTGCACTCGCCCTACGAGCGTTTGCAACAGGTTGTTCGACTCCTCGGTGGCCTCGTGCGTGGCAGTCGTACCCGCCTGCAAACCAGCGATCCCGTCGACGATTGCCTGCAGCAGCGTCTCCGTGGGCGACGGTCCTGGTGCTTGCTGGCCAGCTGCTGCTGCTGCTGGCTGCCCTGCTGAAGCGGGCGGCGGCTGAAGCACTGGGGCACTGGAGCTCCAGCTGCTGGAGGCGGAGGTCCAGCTGGAGCTCCAGCTGCTGGAGGCGGAGGTCCAGCTGGAGGCACTGGCTGGCCAGCTGCTGCGGGCGACGGATGAAGTCCCGGTGCCGCTTGCGCTAGCTGAGGCGCTGGCAGCGCCAGCTGCTGCGGAGGTGGGTGGATGTAGTTGTCGTCCGTGTGAACCTGCACGATGTCAACCTGCCAGCCGCGCGTGAAAGATGCCAAATGGTTCCAGGCTCCCTCTGTCCTGTTCTTGCGTCTGTCCGCCGCCAAGTGATCTGCCGTCACTCTGCTCCCATTCGTAGCGCACATAAGGCACTTCCACGTGCCCGTGGCGCGGTCCCACTGCATGTAGGGCGCGTCCACCCACGACCCGTCACTGAGCGTCACCGTCTGCGGGCAAGTCCATTCGTTCTCCACGAACTGCAAGTGCGCCGCCATGACGGGCGGACGCTCGCTCTCTGCAGGGCGGTGGCAACTCCAGCTCGCCCTCTGAAGGGCCTTCGCCAAAATGGCTTTGGCCTAGATGGCTGCATTACGGAATAGGTCGCCCTCGTCCTGGGTGGGTCGCGGGCGGGTCGCCTTTGTCATGGGTGGGTCGCGGGTGGGCCGCCCTCGTCATGGGTGGGTCGCGGGTGGGTCGCCCTTGTCCTCGTCGTCTCGCCAGGGTGCCCCCGCGGGCCCTCCCTCAGGACCCGCCTATACTCGCATGTGATTCCGCGCGCCCCGTCCAAACTCACAGCGGCCCTTTGGGCGT